GCTGCCTAACAACCAACATGGTTTTATCTCTGATAGATCAATTATCACCAACATGTTACACTGCATCGACAATTGGACCAGATCTTTAGATGCAAATGAACTAGTTGACGTGGTTTATCTGTATTTTTCCAGAGCTTTCGATCGAGTTCCGCACAAAAGGCTCCTGCACAAGCTTGAACATCTCGGAGTCAGGGGAAATTTGTTGCTATGGATTGAAGCTTTTTGTTAGATAGATATTTCTCCGTCCGTGTTGGAGACGCCTATTCTTCTAGCCATCGTGTTTCTAGTGGAGTTCCACAAGGATCTGTGTTAGGGCCAATACTTTTTCTTCTTTACACAAGCGACCTTCCCACCCGACTTTCTTCTATGTGTTCCATCTATGCAGATGATACTAAAGTCTATAACACGGCCATGAACTCATCTGTGCTTCAAGAAGACCTCAAGCTGATCAGAAAGTGGACAGAACTTTGGCTCCTGCCTTTAAATCTCTCGAAATGCTACGTTCTCCAACTGTGAAAAATAATCCTAACTTAACATATAACATTGGCAAACATACCTTAGAGACTGTTTTCCTTCACACAGATCTTGGTCTGACAGTTAATGACCGGCTCACCTAGTCGGAGCACATTAAGAACATAACCTCTAAAGCAAAGCGGTTGCTATATATGATGAAAAGATCATTTAGCGGTTGCACCGTTAGTACCTCCTCCTTCTTGTACACAACTTTCGTACGACCCCTACTGGAGTTTGCTGCTCCGGTATGGGATTCACACCTTGTTCGCGATAACAGCTTATTAGAGGCCGTTCATCGTCGTGCTACACGTATGCACGTATGCCTTATGGCACACGTAGGCCGAGTTATGAAGACCGCCTCGAGTTATATAACCTGCCTACTTTTGCTGATAGAAGAATGCGAAGAGATCTCATCATCATTTCCAGAGCACTGCATAATTTGTTTGGTGTGGACATGTCGCATCTGTTTCGTCTGGCAACGAACAATCTCAGAGGCCATAACTTCAAATTGCAGAAGGAAGCTTTTAGAACCTCTAATCGTCAGCGCTTTATCTCAAACCGTGTCTTCGATCCATGGAACAGTCTTCCATCTTATTTAGTGAACTCGGCATCCGTCAACAGTTTCAAAAGCAATTATGAGAGACACCGCAGTGCTTAACATATTGTTCCCATTCTGTATATGTCTACTTCAGAAGTGCTGAGATTGTCAAATTGTTATATTTCTTTTGTCTATACACTATTATCTATTATGTGTTTGAGTTTATAGTACTTGTACTCAACTCAAATTAGTTGTTTAATAATAATAATAATAATAATATTCTGAAAGAAGAAGTTTTAGATATAGCCGGGGATATAGCATATTATACTAATTTTGGAAATAATTTCTCTTTGTCGATATTTATTCGTTGTTTTTCTACAATTACTTGAAATTTCCTCATATAGCCAAAAATAGTTTTATAGAATATGTAGACGGGTATGAACAGAGTTCGTTCTATGACAAATTTGTCGTATTTCCACCATTGTGATCTCCGAAACGGTAAGGGATATGGGTCGGTTGGATGATGGCACAGTTGCGTATTTATATATACTAAGTGACATATAAATCCGAACACCCAGTTTAAATGGTTTTATTTTAATAAAAGTTGGTGAATGTATTTATCTTACTGTAAATAACAAGTGAAAAAATTTTCAGCCTTATCAGTTGGACATTCCGGTTTTTATACTGCTTTTTTTTAATTCACTAACGCTCTAAAAATGAATATTTCAGCCGCAGTAAAGAATCAACGTTGGCGGATTTTGGTTCTTGACATCCTTTACGATCGGTTACGATGCCTAGAGTACGGAGACCTGTACGATTTCGTCAACTTAGTGAGTTTGATAGGGGCCGTATAGTGGGACTTCGGGAAGCTGGACTTTCTTTTCGGGCAGTTGCCGTTAGAGTGCAAAGAAGTGTAGACACTGTGGTTAGGTGTTATCAGGCCTGGCTTTTAGAATGCCGTACGCAAAGAGCAAGGGGCACTGGACGCCGCCGTAGAACAACAGACCGTGAAGATCGCCGCCTAAGGTTATTGGCCTTAAGGGACCGTTTCTCAACTACCAGGTCCATTGCAAATGAATGGTTTGCAGAACACGGAAGACCTATTGGCATGCGAAGTGTTTACCGACGAATGAGAAGTTTTGGCTTGTTTTCATACCGGGCACACTGGGTCCTCCCTTTAACTCGAGAACACCGACGTAATCGCCTTGAGTGGTGCAGACAACGGTCACTCTGGGATCAGGAATGGAACAGTATTGTCTTTAGTGACAGGGTTAGAAGGCGACCTGGTGAAAGGAGGAATCCACAGTTTTTTGTTGAAAGACATGTTCATCACACTGTTGGAGTTATGGTTTGGGGTGCCATAGCTTATGGTTCCAGGTCACCTTTAATCTTCATCAGAGGTAACATGAATGCGCAGCGTTATATCCACGAAGTTCTAGAACCCCATCTTATACCGTATCTTGACACCCTGGCAGATCCAACTTTCCAACAAGATAATGCCCGACCACATGTTGCAAGAGTCACAATAGACTTCTTTCAACATAATGATGTCACATTGTTACCATGGTCACCAAGATCTCCCGACTTATCCCCAATTGAGCACGTGTGGGATATGATGGGTAGGAGATTGCTCAATTTGCAACGTCCTCCTCAGACCCTAGAAGCACTTCGAGAGGAGTTGGTGGTTGCCTGGAATGAGATACCACAGGAGGACATTGACCACCTGATCAGAAGCATGCCTAGGCGCGTTGGAGAATGCGTAGCACATCAGGGTGCATCCACACATTATTTAAGGTCAAAGGGCTTTAAAGCAGTGCAATCATTTTGAAATTTTTATCATTTACTTATTTATGCTTCATTAAGTACTTATACAAAATTTTATTAAAATAAAACCATTTAAACTGGGTGTTCGGATTTATATGTCACTTAGTATATTTTAGAAAATTAATTTTTAAAGGTTTTGACGTTTCCAGTATCTCCAGAGATCATGGATCAGGGATTGAATTTTCACAATATCGTTTCCATTTGTTTCTGAATTTATTTGAGATTTTCAACATAACCTACCCATCGACTTTGCCACCTTTTGATTTCTGTAAGGTGGCATAAATGGAACTTTAACTTGATTTTTCGTCTCTTCCCCAGTCTTAAATTTGATTTTTCTTATGTTTGCAGTTTTTGCATAGGCACGTCATACATCATCATAAATAATTAAATTCTTGAGTGAGCCTTGAAATTATCATATAGTAATTTATTTCATAGAATATCAAAAATTGTAACATCATTGATATAAAACTGCAAGTGCCCAACTTAATATAGTTGGTTTGAGCTCATCTAATGGGAAAAAATATGATGTAACTCTTTTATATTATTTATGGGTAATAATGACTCGCAAGCGGAAAAACTGGGAGATGAAATGTTAGATCGAAATTCTGATTTTGCCACTGTGTAGAAGAGAAGAAGTAGTGATGTTATTGTGTAATTTGTTTAAAATTTATAGACAATGTGGGAAATTTTTGTTTCGGACTAAAGCCAGAAAAAAATAAAACCGAGTTAGACTAAGTTTTGGAAATATTTTGAATTTCCAAACTGTACAAGTTTCATTTTTCTATTTACTTACGCAACTTGCCCCATAAAGTACTTTGCGTCATTTATGTGAATGTGACATGATCACTATTTACTGTGATCTGTCAGTATATTCATCATGAGATGTGGTATTTATTCACCTGGACGTCAGTAATTACTGATGCATAATCTTGCGTAAAAATCTACTGATGCTAGGAACCACAGTAAATACTGATCGTGTAACATTCGCTTTATCGGTTTTGAGATCGTGAAGGTGGGCTTTGAATTTAGAATACACGTAACACATATTGCACATGTTTTAGCAAAATTAAGCTGATATCTAACATAGGTTTCAACTAATACTAGTAATTTCTCATCTAACAGATATCGATTCAGCTTGTGGAGAAGCCTGTGCATGAATACTTAAATTTTTGCCAAAAATGTTCTCTCCGTTTATTTTTTTAGAGCTATTGCCACCACTCTCCCCCTTTATGGGTACGCCCTTGTGGTGATCTGTGATCTTATGGGCCTAGAGGCACCTATTCTTACTCTTGTCGCACTCACAGTTTGTCTGAACGTAGTGACCTACGCAACAATGGACATGTTTACCAATTTTTTGCTATTAGTTCAAATTAAATTTTAAGAAAAATGAAACAGGATGATGAAAAATTTATTAACTTACCTCTAAAAACAAAAAAATTGCAGCCTATCAAAATTGTAACCCGCAAGAATATTTTTATTCCGTCTGAACGTGACGCGTAACGTCACTCTTCCGTCTAAACACACAGATAGGTACTATACATATACTGCGAGAACACTTGGTAGGCTAAACGTCTTCTGCGCCAATTTGTTTAATTAGTTGACTGCCTATACGATCGGTTATGAGCGAATTATCAAAAAAAGGTTGTTATACTGTATCGTTACAAAATCTACGAGCACAACAATTACAACCCCTATTAAACATTTTTTCTACGTACCCTCACATGAAAATATCAGGAAGAACTGGTGCAGACTTATGAAGCGTGATGTGATTGGAATAAAGAGTACAACATATGTCTGTGAAGACCACTTTGATATAAGTATGTTACTTTACTATTTATTTATTATTATTTATTATATGATTTCCAAGCTCATTTTACTGTACTCGCGGCATTTGACGGAGAAATCTTTATTAACTATATAATATTATAGATCACCTATTTCAACTCAGCGGGAGTAGCTGTGAGTTGTGTCATTTACCCTCCTAAAAAATGCGTCAAGTAGGTTGATACTGTACTACATTATGTGCAATGTTATTATATATTTTAATGGGATTTTATATAAGTAACACCTCTATCAAATTAGGTTACTTCAAATTTCAACTTCGAATCCGTTTTTGTTATTTCAGATTGAGAATGATACTGAAAATCTGATAAGATATAAACTAGTCGGTGAAAGATTGAAGCTGGAAGTTAGAGTAAGCCGTCATAAGTTTGACCACCAAAAAGGTGTGCGGCGTTTGAAGAATGCGGAGCATATGAGAATTCATTCAATGTGACTCAAAATCGAAAGAATTTGAAGATCCACTGCTTGAAGATTATACTGTATCTGTGGCAGGTGATCATGACACAAAAATTAAACACAAAATATCGAATCTTGCATTTCTGTGCTTGTATCTATGAAGTAAGTCATTATATGGGTCTTACTAAGTTGTCTTCGTTTACATTCATTAATGAGTCTTTCGAAGAAGTTAGGATCCTCTACTAAATCTAAATATGAATTCTTTCGCTTTAATAAACATAATACTACTGTCAACTTGAGATCCAGTAATCTTCTACTGAAATATGTTACTTGCAGGTTCCTCGCTATTTTTCAAAAGCCACATCAAAAACGTTATTGTGTGTTTCCTTACTTTAGTCACAGACCCATGTACAATAAGGCGTAGTTTTCACTGAATGTGCAGGTGTATGTTAACTCTGCATTTTACAATGCATTCAGTACCTTCACGTTTCAACTGAACATAACTAATAGCATCTTCACGATACGAATATCTACCTGCCCTGGAAAATATCGTGTCATATTCGCAAATCTGTACTCATATTATCACCATAAATTTATTTAAAACCTCGGTAGGGTATCGCACATTTTACAGCCAGTTGTGATTGTGTAGCAGTAGGCATAAATCCTTACTTTCAAAGTTTCAGACCTTTCACTTCATCAATCAGTGTTTAATGAATAAATTTTTAAGGATTTTAAAAAACAAAGCTATGATTTGCCATTTATTAATAAAATAATTACGTCCTAATCGAACCTCATCGGTCCAGTTTTTTATTCGTCGACTATGTGTTCCCTTCACTGTCGTTTAAGAACAATTTCAGCAACAATCTCGCCGATTTACTCCAGACGATGAGGGCATAGACCTTCGAAAGCTCGAGTTTAAGGCCCGTATCGTCAGTCCTCCCTACAATTGTAGAGCGCCTTTATGGCCTCCTTGATTGTTATTGTTTTCTACTTCCGACACGGGACAAGTGTAATCTAGAAATTTTTGAAGGAGAGAAAGGAGTATGACAATCAAGGAGGCCATAAACGCGCCCTACATTGTAGGGACGACTGACGATACGGGCCTTAGTTATAAGAGTGTGCTTATGCAATACTTTGCCTTCTACCCAAAGAACTTAAAGTATATATATATATATATATATATAACAACAAGTAGGAAAATAAGGGGCAAAATCCGCAAAAAGGAGGAAAGTGGATTCGAGCAGAAAATAGGATAGGTAACCCGAGCGATACGTATTTCTGCTGATTGGCTTCATCAGGCCCGAAATGAATGCACATATGAAACTACAAAAGTAGATATACACGCCCACACATCCGGATACGGGTGTAACCTGAGGAAACGAAGTTGGAGGGGGAAAAAAACGACACACGGAGTCCACAACAAGAGCCAACCTACATTTTGTAGTATAAAATGGCTAAACGACCTCGAATTTTCAAGGAGACGTCTAACCACCACCACGCGGCCGGTTATAGCCACTTGCTGTGGTACTTCAAGCCCAAAGGATTTTATTTTCTGCTCGAATCCACTTTCCTCCTTTTTGCGGATTGCTTGATGAACACCCAGTTTAAATGGTTTTATTTTAATAAGATTTTGTATAAGTAATTAATGAAGCATAATAAGTAAATGATAAACATTTCAAAATGATTGCACTGCTTTAAAGCCCTTTGACCTTTAATAATGTGTGGATGCACCCTGATGTGCTACGCATCCTCCAACGCGCCTAGGCATGCTTCTGATCAGGTGGTCAATGTCCTCCTATGGTATCTCATTCCAGGCAACCACCAACTCCTCTCGAAGTGCTTCTAGAGTCTGAGGAGGACGTTGCAAATTGAGCAATCTCCTACCCATCATATCCCACACGTGCTCAATTGGGGATAAGTCGGGAGATCTTGGTGGCCATGGTAACAATGTGACATCATTATGTTGAAAGAAGTCTATTGTGACTCTTGCAACATGTGGTCGGGCATTATCTTGTTGGAAAGCTGGACCTGCCAGGGTGTCAAGATAGGGTAAAAGATGGGGTTGTAGAACTTCGTGGATATAACGCTGCGCGTTCATGTTACCTCTGGTGAAGATTAAAGGTAACCTGGAACCATAAGCTATAGCACCCCAAACCATAACTCCAACAGTGTGATGAACATGTCTTTCAACAAAAAACTGTGGATTCCTCCTTTCACCACGTCGCCTTCTAACCCTGGCACGACCATCGTGCATGCCTAAACAAAATCGAGACTCGTCACTAAAGACAATACTGTTCCATTCCTGATCCCAGAGTGACCGTTGTCTGCACCACTCAAGGAGATTACGTCGGTGTTCTCGAGTTAAAGGGAGGACCCAGTGTGGCCGGTATGAAAACAAGCCAAAACTTCTCATTCGTCGGTAAACACTTCGCATGCCAATAGGTCTTCCGTGTTCTGCAAACCATTCATTTGCAATGGACCTGGTAGTGGAGAAACGGTCCCTTAAGGCCAATAATCTTAGGCGACGATTTTCACGGTCTGTTGTTCTACGGCGGCGTCCAGTGCCCCTTGCTCTTTGCGTACGGCCTTCTCGAAGCCATGCCTGACAACACCTAACCACAGTGTCTACACTTCGTTGCACTCTAACAGCAATTGCCCGAAAAGAAGGTCCAGCTTCCCGAAGTCCCACTATACGGCCCCTATCAAACTCACTAAGTTGACGAAATCGTACAGGTCTCCGTACTCTAGGCATCGTAACCGATCATAAAGGATGTCAAGAACCAAAATCCGCCAACGTTGATTCTTTACTGCGGCTGATATATTCATATTTAGAGCGTTAGTGAATTAAAAAAAAGCAGTACAAAAACCGGAATGTCCAACTGATAAGGCTGAAAATTTTTTCACTTGTTATTTACAGTAAGATAAATATATTCACCACCTTTAATTAAAATAAAACCATTTAAACTGGGTGTTCAGATTTATATGTCACTTCGAAGTTGAGTCATTTATTCTAACAGTGAGTAGATCTGATCAAAAGAAATGTTTTTTTCCTTTACCATTTTTCTGGTAAAATTAAAGTAACAAAGTTATAGCCCTTTGTAAGTTTGAGTACCGTCCTGTCTCAATAATAATATTATGTGCTCGTGTTTGGCAACAACGGATATAATCCGCCTTATCGGTTCATCGCATCGGAAACAAAAAAGCGAAAGAATTTGGAACGATGTTTTTACAATTATTTTATTCAGTTGTATACAGTCAGTGTCAGTCGGTAACGCGTGAGTGAATAGTGGTGTCTGTTGCGTGGCTCAAACGAAATCAAAAATGGCACATGTTTACGAAAATGCTGAACTTGTGGACATGATTCTAATTTACGCGGCATCACGGATTTAGGCGGATCGGTTTCCCAATCGAGTGCAACCAACCCCTCGTGCCTTTCTTAATGTAGTACAAAGGGCTCGTGAATCAGGTAACTTGAGACCTCACAGAGGAAGGCATGCCGGTGCTCCAAGACCGCACGATCAAATATAGGTCCGCACTGAAATACTTGTCGGGAGGATACTTTATAAAACAAGGTAACATTTTTTTTATTTTTTTTTATTTTTACACACATATTTTGGTTTATCTTCCTTCTACAATCATTATCTGAAAATTAATGACTCAACTTCAAAGTCACCCTGTATATATATATATATAGTTGGGTACAAAATACAATTACTTGTTAATTGGGAAATTGGCAAAACTTTTAGGCTTAAGTTGACTCTTTTGACGATAAAATCAAGCTTTCGGCATTCTCTATGGAGCCATCATCAGGATTCTGAAAACACAATTGTGATGCTAGCATAGAAAACAGGACAGATTTAAAATGTCAGACAACTTACTCGTCGGTGAGGTTGCAGCCACAAGGTGTTTCAGAAAGAACGTAGAGAAGATCGAACTTGTGTTCAGTATAAAAACAAAAGGACGGGGCTTGTTAAAAAAACGACAGATACCTTCGTTAAAAGTTAAGAAAAAATAAAAATTATATCAATACACCCGAACAAGTTAAAAATATTACACGTGGGGAGACAATCGGAATGCAGTCCCTAACCTTCTACTACCGCTACACGTGGAGAGGGGGAAGGCACGGAACGGTAAAGCGTCGACAGAAGACAAGTGATTGACGCGACGGAACGTGGGAATGTACACCTCCCTGTCCAACTTTGAGTATGAAGTATACGAGGGTCGCTCGGTAAATCTCCACCCAAAATTACTAAAATGCTGGAATAACTTGATTTGCAAAAGAGTGTGTGGTTCATATGAGTGCAAGAATGTATGATATTGATACAACCTTGAAAGGATGGGTTATGTGAGTTTATATTAAAAATGTGAGTGAGAAAATGTATTTTAATTTTGTGAAGATGTTGGATCAATTTGGACATGTACCCGTTCTAGCTTTTCGCAATTCAACAGGTAGGAATAAATGACACTGAGCTGCTTAACATCGGCCTTTTTATTCATGTAATGATCTGTCATGAAAATGTGGGACATTTCTAAAAATAAACGTTTTGAGAGTCTTTTTTCTTTATCAAGAACCTCAATACTGCCATAATTGTGTGTTAATAGGCGAAGCCAAAGCACATCTTTCTGGATGTAATCTGGCATCACTTTTGTGTGACGTTATCCTGCCTTTAAGCGACCTAGAAGTTTGGCCTATATAAACTAAATTGCAGTTGTTGCAATTAATACGATATACAGTATTGGTTGAATCAAGCAACTGAACCTTATCTTTCATTTTGGACAACAAACTGTTGACTGTGAGAACTGATTTACAAGCAAAACGACAATTAAAGGGATTATACAGCCTGATCAATTCTTTGATGTATGGGACAACATAGTTAACTCTGGAAATAGGAGCAACCACTGTAGTGCTGTTGTTCTCATTAGTTGAAGAATTAATGGGTATCTGGTTTGATTGATCCGTGTTGTCATTTTCACTATTGTTATTAGTGATTGGCAAAATATTCGGAGGAGAGCTGAACAAGATTCTGTTAAGCAAAT